TTTATACAGTAAATAGCCATTTGCTGCTTTGTTAACACTCTGAATTTCAAATTTAGCATCTTTAATTCAAACATCACTCGCAAGCTCTTTCGTGAGCTTTTAACCACATCTCACAGCCGTCATCTGCAAACAGAGTACATTGAGGGCTAAGTTCAGTTGTCACATAGAACCACACAAACACACACACACACACATATTAATATATATCTACACACATAAATGTTTTATGATTTAAGGGCTCTACTTGCTGACAACTGAACCAACTCAATAACAATCGAGGAAAACTGTGTTCACTGATGAAGGCTCCGATTTGTCGTTGAAAGCTCTGGGAAAGCAAGTAAGTGAACCTTGAGTTAAGATTTTATTAATTGTAGTTTATTTCTTAACTGCCCTCCTTCACAGGAGCATAAAGGTCCACGGGAAAAAAACCCCATAAATTTAGGGTAATTTCTTTTTGGTGTAATTCAAAAAGCCAGAAGAATCAACTTTGATTCACGTCCTCAAACAATCCCGCTCATATAATAATCTGTTACTAAATGTTTGCCTCGTTATAAAAGACAGACCTCGTCGAACAAATCATAGATCATCACATCAGAAGTGAAGAATTAATGTGTCAAAATGACACGCTTTTTAAACACTTTCATCAACAGTGTAGGTGCCATGAATAACTTAAGCTACTGTGAGACTATAACGTCTCCGTTTATCCTCTACTTGTGTTTTCATGTCCATATCATTCCCTATGACGTCTCTACGTTCCTTAAAACAGGATGATGTGTTCAAACACTCAAAGGATTGAGCAGAGCGAGCGATGCTCGGCTTCTGTAGAACAAATGCCAACTTGTGTACAGGGCCTGTGTGTGTGTGTGAGTGTGTGTGTGTGTGTGTGTGCGACTCCCTCGGTCCCTGGCTGTTCATGCAGCATGAAAATGAGTGGGACGGAGGAATGAATGGACACTGAAAATAAGGACAGTCTTTGTCTGACCACAAAGACAGAAGGTAATCTCCACCAACACCATTATTAATCTCTAGCAACACGGGCAAACAACAGACGTGGTGCTAATTGTTACGGTACGTTTGTCACCTATCCACACAGCTGGAGATGTACTCGTAGCGACAGTACCTGAACTATCTGTAACTTATTCAGTCTCTCTGTCAAACTCTCAAACCAGAGTTTGGTGGTTTTTGGAACAGTGGAATAAGTTATTTTTTGTTTGAATGAAGTGCGCTTTACGACGCTCAGCAACATAACATTACTGTGGTCTGACTGGAGTCTGGTGGCTTAGAGGAGAGCATGTTAATTGTATGTTTTGTACATGAATAAATGATAATAAACCTCAAAATTCCTGTTGATTTTTACGGATTATATATTATTAACTTCAACATAACATAGCGCAGGAAACGGGGCAAAAACCGGCATGTCCAACCGGGTGTCGTGTTTCCACCACTGCTGAACAGAGCCAAGAAACATCCAAGACGACTGCGGATTTGTTTGTCCCAGGAAGGAATGCCGATTGTGACCTTTTCCACTGACTGCAAACGCCAGATGTTAATGTGCGTTACTGGGGTTTCTTTTGTCCAGTGAGAAAGAGGCTTGAGATGAATTAAACTGTATTGTATAAACTGCAGATGTGACAGTGAACAGCCACATGTATCTCTCTCATCGTGCAGCTGTGTACTCACACTGCATCACCTTCACCTCCTTCCCCAGAGGCATCCACAGCCCCCTGGTGGGCGCGTTCGCCAGGAAGCTCCTGGCTGCTTCATTTCCTGGTTCGGCGGGGATACAGTCCTCTGGTTTGTCCTCGTGCTCCTGCAACAGCAACTGTCACTTTCTGAGCATTGTCTTTCGAACAAAGAATAACAACTGTACGTGTCCAAGTCCGACACGATCCCGTTTATTTAAAACGTGCTTTTGTCGTGCAGTAAACGTGACGTTACCTTTATGAGTCCCGGGGGAGGTTTCTCATAGCTGCGCCAAAGAAAGATAACACAGTCGTTATTATATGGTTCTTACGTACCTACAGAAGTAACGTAGAAGCTAACACACGCAAACCTAGCGTTTAACTGCTCAAATATTAATTAGTTTAGAATAAGAGTAAAATACTTGCAGTAACTAGAGTTGCATGCATCATTCAGGTATAACTTTTTAACCCGTTTCAGCAGAAACTCTCTCGGTAATATTACTCACAACGTCTCGACGTGTTTCAGCTGTTGGACTTCTTGGTTGAGTTTTTTCGTGTGTGTTTTGAGTTTCTCTAAATCCTGTTTGGAGGACTTGTGCCTCTTGTGGTCTCGGCGCTCCTCCTTCTCTCGTCTTCGCTTTTTGTCCGACATTTGGCCCCGATGTTGACAAACCGTGGGCCGCGGAAAATCATTCACTTACAGATAATAATGCTGCATGCAAGGTTCATTTAAGGTGGAAAAGAAAACAGCCAACGTGCTATAGGAAGCAGCTAACTAGCAGACATCTCTCTGGCGCTGCAGTACTTCCTGTGCATCCCGGATTGGTTAGTTAAAGTCCAGCGCCACCTGCAGGACGCAGGCGGTAACACGTGGAGTGCTGCCGGATTGATTGCTGACTGTTCATGGTTCAGTGTCTCCACAAATACGACAAAAGCACATACTTAGTTCCTGTAACCATATAATTACGCTAAGCACTAAATTCACCTTTCTATTATCTTTAACATCTTTAACAAACGTAACTTTACTCAACCAGTGAATGTGCAGTTTTGAGGTACTTTACATTTTCAGCAACTTCATCCTTCTATTGTACTACCTTTTAGAGGCAAATGTTGTACTTTTTACTCAGATTCAGATTAATAACAGTAAATATAATTAGCAAATAGACTATGGTGTATTTTATAGATAACAATGAGACTTTATTGATCCATTGGTGAAAGTCTCAAGCTACCTGGCGCTAAATAAAATGACAATAAGAGCCACCTTTACCAGCTGCAACATTAAAGTGCATCAGTAATTATTCAGTAATACATTATTCTGAAATAGGCCATTCTTCATAACTTTTACAGCAGTATGTTTTGGTGCTAATACTTTTACTGAAGTAACATTTTGTAAACATGACTTTTATTGTGGTATTGTTAAGTAAAATATCTGAGGATTTATTCCATCTCTCCATTCATGCACCGTTTTTTACATGTAAATATATTTGTTCTATTTTATTGGACTACGAATATATTTTTAATTTCAAATCTTTGGCACAAACGTTTTCTGTATGTGTCAAGTTTATCTTAAGTGTAAAGAATGCAGCTGGATTAATGTCATATTTTACATTTATATTTGACATGGACATAACATCTGCAAGATTGAAGTTGCAGTATAAGACATTTTCAAGCACTCATTTCAGAGATTAATATCAAACAGAACAGTTTCGCAAACAGAAAAGGTTTTATTTCAGAGAATCACGGTGTTGGAGGAATACAAATGTGAGGTATTTCTGGATTCAAACATACTGAACATTGAACAGCTAATGAAAACAGGTATCCAGGCAGTACAAAACGCAGTAAATGTATTCAAAATTCTTGCTCTTAACAAAAAGATAAAACGACCTTAACCTTTCAAAAACATATGGCCAAAGAAAATGTGAAAAGAAAATGCACAGCCTCGACAATATTGATTGTTAAAAAGTACTTTCTGTTCAGGTTTTAGGCAGATGTGCCCATTCAATGTAAACAGCAAATGGTAAGTCTCACTCCCATATCAAATGAATGTACACAGACACATCGCAACACCTGGAAAGAGAGGTGTAAAAGTAAATCAATAAATTCAAATACAAAAGTTTTGACATCAATTAATACGAGTACGAAAACGTTGTATATATTCGTATCATATACATGTATACTTGTAACTTTAAAGGATGTTAGAAGGCATGTAAACCAGCTTGTCGCGCCACAAACGCCACCGCAGAACACAGTTGGGTTTGCTGCGATGTTTCAGCCATTTGATAAACACTGAATAATTCCTCAATCCTTCCACTTAAAAGGGAGCGGAAGTATTACAAGAGGCGTGTGCTAAATTAGACAAAGAAGCATTTGTCTCCAACTGGCTCAGCAGCAGAGGCAGTAACCCTGATTAACAGCTGAAATAGCCAGCCCAGCGCTCCCAGTTGCTGCATTCAGGATACCAGGAGTGCCATTCCAAACAGCCCAGCAATAGCTGTGTTGGTGGGCAGGCTGCGACCCTTCCCACACCGGCTCAGAAACCAAAGTTCCTCCTGAGCCTTTGGTGTTAACACGTTACAAATGTGGGTCTAACCCCTTGTTTGTAAGAGTTTACATAAAGACAAGGAGGACACTCAAAGCGAGGAAAGAAAATCTTTCAAGCCCCCCTTCTTGCTGCTCTGGTGGTGCTCTCGCATTAGTATCTTGCTGAGACGCTGGACGACCCAGTTTTTAGGCTTAGAGGGAGTCTTGGAGGAAGATGGGGCCGACCCTGACGTGTTAGAGGAGGTGGAGGACCTGGAGAGAGAGAGAGAGAGAGAGAGAGAGTTGGGAAGCGAGGAGAGAGAAACGGAAAAAGGGGGAGGGATGAAGAGTTAGGATAGGGAAATTTAAGATTTTGTTGCTTGGCAGGAAATGTTAAAAGTGCGCCGTCAACAAGTATATGATCTGGCAAGCATGGATACGCAATCATTCGAATGCCAACGGGCCTGACACATCATCCTCTCGGATGTCTGTGACACCAAGTTTAGTTGAGAGAGGTTATATGTTGAATTCTAGCTCAGGGGATATCAATACCAGACACCTTAAAATAACTTACCTAGGAGTATGAGCAGGTGTCTTGTCTTTGCCAGGAGTCTTGGGGGTTGTCATGTTGGCTCTGTGGGTTGACTGCGGGGTCTTGTGTTTAACAGCGCTCCCTGGTGTGCTGCGGGTCCTGGCGAGGGTAGCTATGAACTCCCTGTTCATTCCTTTGTGTCTGGACGTCTTGCTGCAAGTGTGGCAGGTGGCCATCTGGGATAAGGAGAGGAGCGGAACATATTCATTAACATTGCGTGGCCCCGCATCTATATTCCCCTCGTACATAACGAGGTTTTGAGGTGAAGGCATTCAAGGTATCCCCCATGGGAATATTTAGCAACAAAAAACAAACTAAATCAGAAAGTTTTCTAAAAGCCAGAGTTGTCTGACTTTCTCAGGGGCACACAGGAGTTTGTTGTGACTCAGTCTTGATCGATTGCAGTGACAGAATGCCTCCCGGGACACAGAGAGCAGGACTAGCAGCGGTTGTGGCAGGAACGGGGGGGGGGCTGTAATGAGAAGTGCTCCGATGCCCTGTGTGACACATCTACAGCTGAGGAAGAGCTGACAATGGAGTCCAGGATGCAAATTCATGAGAGGAGATGAGGCTCCTCCCGTTGGCCCTTCCTAACATCCCCTTCAATGTTTGTACAATGTTAAAATAACTGGATTAGTTAAAGCGGGATGGGAAACATTGACTTAGCCTATGAGAGGGCAAGGTGGGGCTGTTGCCATGCACGTTTCACCCATTCAGGGTACGGGTGCTATAAACACCGTCACACAACTCTTTCAGTTAATCTCTATGAACCTTTTCGGGGGGGGGGGGGTTACTTTCGTCAGTCGAGTTTACACTTTACTGCGCCTTACATGATGAATTATAAGCAACTTCCTGACACAGATTACACAAGAACCTATATTAGGCAACGAGCACAAGACACTTCTGAGAGTGACGAGACGCAGCTGCCGCTTCATGAGATCCAAATGATTCAAGACAACAATTAGCATCCCAGACTCCTGACCACTGTGTCCCAATAAAAAGGTATAGTTCATGCGAGTAGACTGGGATTAGCTAATGTGCAATCCTTCACGAGGTTATTAACAGACATTATTTTGCAACCCCCAAACAGATAAAGAAAAAGAACCTCACTCGCATCCAGAACATTTGAACCATGCTCTTATTCAATTGCTGTCCAGTATTCACAACTAAGACGCCACTAGAAGATCAAGTGACGACAACAAATTGGAGACAATCACATCATCTCAGAGATGAGTGCAAGACAAGCTGCACAGAAGATAAACCAACTCTACAGTACAAAATAAAAGTCTTCTGAGTTTAGAAAATGCCGTACAAAGTGTGAAGTGCTGTTTAGTGTAATTTGAGGATTGCTTCGACAGCCCTCCCAATCATCAGTAACTTAAATCCCACTAATTACACCAGCCACCCAGAGTGGCACAAGGGGGAAACGGGTCAGAACAGACCACCAGTGCAGAGGTCAGCAAGTCTGAGCCAAGCTGTCGACAGTCCAGAATGCTGATGAGGCGGAAAACTCACCGACACGAAGGCGGCCATTTCAGATTCTGACAGGTGTCTGTTGGTGTTGAAGAGTTGGGTTTCGGTGCACCGGGGAGTACAGAGTTCCTCTTTCTTTCTTTCTACGAGAGCGCGTATGAAGTGTTCACTACACGAGCCTGCATGTCCAGCTTTATACAGACCGAGCCCAGCAACTGACCCACCCGTCTCTGCACAGGGGTGTGGCTGAAAGGAGGAGCCACCACTGCACTCTGCTGCTGCTTCGTCAGTGGCTGGCCTCATCTAGACACACCGCTGTTTGCAAACTGATTAAACCGCGCGGAATGAAAAGTCAGACCTCCACCAAGCATCTCCAAACACAGGCGGTATGGTAGACAGGAATCCAGAGAGATTTTTTAATTTTCTATGTAGAATATGTCATGATTTTGTTTCTGTGTCCAAAAATCAATGGGACCGAATTCAAGAAGGATACGTCATATTATTTACATAGAGAAATCATCACACACACAGGCCAGTGTGCAGATTTGATTTTCTACACCGCCTATCTAAGAACTGAGTGCCTAATATACATTTCAGCAAAGAACATTAACATTGCAAAGGCATGCTAGAGGATGTCATACTGGCACCACTCTCTGGATCCATAGAGGTGTTTCAGAGAAACAGACCCATAGAGAGTCGAGTGGCACTCCACCGGAGGATCTTGGTTCACGTGTATACGAGTAAATATCTATCCTGCTGTACTGTCCTCAAGCCCAACATTGAATCTCTAAGGATTCCAACACTTTAGCATTAATACGACACAATTAAAAAAAAGAAGTTACGTTTGAAAACAACGAGGTTTAGAAGATATCAAATGTTGTATCGTAAAATCGCTGCAAGAGGATTTTCTTGCTGCATTGAAATGAATGGAAACTAGTGATTCCCTTAAAGCAAATTGTAAACAATAGTATGATTTGGGAATCAACGTGGAACATAATGTAGATAACAGGCTCAAATGCACAACTTATCCTTTAGGACTGTAAAGTCAGTGATCGGGGGTTGTGGACATTTAGGTGACGGTGTAGATTGTACTGGTTTGAACTCAGACTATCCAATGATCGCTAAGGATAAAAAACATGCCACAGACAACGGGAGTGTGTGGCTCATCGTGGAGTGGATCAAACACAGACAGACTGCAGAAGGAGGATTATGACTAGAATGACCTGCTGCTGTTCATCCCAATGGTTGATCCTCTTTGTCATCAAGTTAGCGCTAGCGGCCCCACTATCATCACTAATAAGACAGGCTCTAAGAAAGGAGACGTGTGTGTGTGCATAACAGCCCAGTGGAGAGACTGATCAGACCCAGCAATATAAAGGAGTCAACAACGATAATTCACAATAACCTGAAATTAAATCCCACCCATCAGGTGTACACATCTAATTTGAGCTAATCCTTTGACGTGTATGCACTCTGAGAGACACACATGGGCCGGTGCTGCAGGGAGATTTGTTTTTCTTGTCTGTTGATCCTGGGAGCAGACGCAGTGGCCCGTCAAGCATATGGCAAAAGAGACAAGTTGGAGCTTCTGGGTAGGAAGATGATAAACGACCATCTATGCACAGCTGGGGGAATATTAAGGACAGATGGTTTGATGCAGATAGTTGAATTTCTGTTGTGGAAAAAATAAAGGTTCATCATATGGTCAGAAGACTACGAGATTAAAATGAAACCCACCATACAGGAAACAAGTGAATAGTAATCTAATATTGTGCTGTTTATCCCGCAACCCATGAAAAAAGACAATCATATAGACCTCACTAACAGCCCACTTAGATTAGTATTAAGAGAGAATAAACCTGCTAATTCTTATGCTGTCTGTGCAGTGAAGGGTTTGAAGGCAGACAGTGCCTGCCGACAAATCACCAGCAAGACTTTAATCTATGAGCTTTGACCTGAGACATGCATTCTGTGTAAGTGTATATGAAAGTACGGTGTTTGAGCAAAAGAGTGCAAGAAAACAACTCTCTTTGAGGTTGTGCAGCTTCGTGTCATGCAGCTGGCGCTGTGCCCAGTTGACCACATGTAACACAATAAGAAGACGGGAGTCATGAGCTAAACACCTCTGAGCTTCTCTTGTCTGAACCTAATCAACACAGAAATCACTGCCTCTGCTATCCTGGACCTGCTGGGTCTTTGGTGTCAAACCCTCAAGTGTCTTTATTTCTGCCACCATACGACACGCACGATTACTCATACATGCAACATTGGTTCTGAGAATTAGAAGAAGAAATTGCATGTGAAACCCACATACGCAGACACACAAACACATACAGACCCACATAAATCAATTCTTCTTTCTATTAATAGCCCCCTGCTCCATAAATACCTCCCTTCCTGCCTTTCGCTCTCTGCTGCGAGAGGTCGGCCCGGGTTGATTTATTTGACCTCGGCAGACCGACGCCACCCAAGAGGGGAGAGATGAGCGGAGTAACAGTAAGGGAGAGACAGAACCAGGCGCCAGTAAGTATCTTTGAATAGAATAAAAGCATGCAAACGTTTAAAACTGTGGAATGTTAATTGCTTGCAGTTTTTGGAACGCCACTGGTGTGCGACACTCATTTGAGAACACATCAATAGAACACAATAAAGTGGAAAGCAGAAGAGCAAGTGGGGGATCAATACGAGGACGGCTGTGATGTTGCAGGCAGCCACTTAGTCACCCGGTCTGGAGGCAGGCTGCCCGGTACGCACACAGAGGCCCCCGGTCTGAATGCAGAGCTTCTACACATGGAAAAAAAAACATGTCATATCTGTTTCTCTCTTTGTTTCTGTCTCTGCTGGTGATAAAGGTCTCAGGTTTACCGCAAAACAAACCGGAGCAAAGGCTGGAGGACAGATATCAACATTGTAAATGATGATTTATATCGCATAGTGGCACCACGGTGGCTACATCCACTTATTTTATACATTCCGTGGTTTATCCTCTTGTCAGCAGGAGTGGCCCCACAATCATCAGCTGGCCCACACTGAAGCACTGATCGGACCGGTTCTAAGAAAACAAACCAAATCACTTACTCGGTGAAGGTGTGTGTGCGCATGTTCACGTAAAAGCACAGTCGAGAGAACATAGACTATATATCAGAAGAGGACGTGGTCACATTTGTTTGTTGACGGCCGTTTTGTAGCTTCAATTTGGCATTTTGTCCGTCGATATCTTGCTTTTTTTGTAACCAGAAGTGACACAAGCTGAATACAAACTTACACCTAACTTTCATGAACTAAAAACAGACGGGCAAAGTTAATAAATCAGGTGAGAAGTAGAGTCATTTTCTCATAGACTTCTATACAATCGGACTCCTTTTTGCAACCAGTCACCGCCCCCTGCTGGCCATTAGAAATAATGCAAGTTTAACGCACTTCTGCATTGGCTTCATTTTTCAGACCCGGAGGCTGCCGCCTGGAAGACAGACTCAACAACATCAACGAAGTGACACTGCCTACTCCACAATGATGATGATGGTTTGGCTGCTGTAGAGTCACAAGTCATGATAACCTGAAATGGAATCCTAACCATCACGTGCCATCTAATTTAGGCCGTTGCTAAATCTTTGACATGCAGTGTATGAACTTGGGGGGGACACATGAGCAGGTGCCACAGAGAGATGTGATTTCTGTTCTTTCAAGTAGGATTCATCCAGTTAACTAGATCACATAAAAGAATGTTGACTGAACATCTGGAAGGCAATGAATCAGCAAAATCACACTGTGAAAAAAACGCTTCATACGGTTCGTTCAGATATAACATGAAACATATCCTAAGAAATGTTATTATCTGTGGAAGCTCTCTCCAGGGCATGCTGTCACGGTTTGGTTTAAATCTAGAAATGTGCCGTGCTTAAAAGGCCTCCTGTATTTGAATGTACGATGCTTCGAAATGCAAAATGAAATGTTTCCACTGACGAAATCTTCATATTCAATGTTTATTACGAGCACAGAGACCAAAGAGTCTTTGACATTACTAGGTACAAAACACATAATTGATAAATGTCTGTTTCTGTGGGTGATATAAGCTGGAACTAAAATATAAGGTGAGAAATACAAACAGAGTATTACATCGTGAGAATAGAAGAATATATAAAACAGAACATGTGCCTTTATAAGTCTGACAATAATCATGAATCACCATAAATATCATGGTCTTATATCATACACACAGTGTTATGCTCCTGGCCCCTGGGTGGACCAGCTGTACTTCTCTGAGGCAGAGTTCTGGGGTTTAAGGATAAAAAAAACCTACAACTTAGAGACAGCTGTAGATTTGGGGCTCCTCTGTGGCCATTATACTTTAAAAGCTAACTGATGGCACATGTGTGGCTTTATGACAGATGTGCGATGAACGCCATTAATGTGCACGCCTGCCGTCACAATCGGTTGCAGGAGAGATATACTGCTAATGCCGGTGAGTGAGGATCCAAAAACCCAGCCATGACACCCGTGCCAACTTACAATTGATCCTTCAGAGGGGATTGCCAAAGTTCCAGAATAGGATTTGAATAGCGGTGAGGAAACAGAGCTAATTGACAGATGACATGTTGTTATAGAGCAGCAGCAAGTTCTCTGGGGGGGGTTCTATATCCTGTGACATGCTGGGCTACAAACACGCTGACAGCGGAGAACCAACCTGCATGCATTCTGAATGTGTGTGTGTTGCACTATACAAACCCGGCAGACATTGTTTCCACTTCTGTGTTTGTATCTAAAAAAGTTCAAGGCCACTGTAGCTGTTGCAGAGTCTCTCCTGGCCTTTCTCTTCCCCAAACACGTCCTCCCTCTTGTCATCCTGTCGCTCCCTGTCCAACCCCGAGGTGTCGAAAACCCGCGGCGGAGCTTTATCTGTTCGCTGAGAGCAAACAGCACCAAGACATCTCTGTCTCCTGTTTCCTGTCATCCTCCTTAAGAGGCACATTCTCCAACACCATTACTCCAGTAAAGACAAACAGGACAGAGGGATGTAAGAAGACCTGGCCAAGAATGGAAGGAGGAGAGAAGACAGGTTGAGGCGTGCAAGAAGAAGAAAAACAAACAGAAGATTGGGGGATGAGAACGGGCTAGTGAGGTCAAGAAGAAGTGGTGACATAAATTATAACGAGAGGCTGGACCCACGTCAGAAAGAGAGGGCGCTTCTGGGAAAGGGGAAAGATAATTTCAACCACTTAAGTTCTGTTTTTTTCTTTCATGCCGGATTCATCGGTTAGTCTGAAAGCAAGTGTTGTTTTCAGAGTACAACAACAGCATCGTGACTTTCAGTAAACGTGCATATCCATCTGTCAGCTATTGTTCTGGTGAGCTGCCAGGCAAAATCATTTTTCGAAAAAAAGTGACTACTTTTGTTTCTTGTAACAAACAACTCGTCTGGGAGGAAGAACAGAAGAACGGAGGAGGAGGAGGAGGAGAACGCGCTGTCCTTTCTCTCCATTTAGGGTCTCTGCTTCCCTGGTGGGGCTACACTCCAACTTATTTCCATATCTATATAATACAACCTGCCCGGCGTGAATAAACATGCCTGATTTATAACAGCTGTAAGAACACAGAGCTGAGGAAAGCATATCATGTGCTGGCATCCACCCAGATGGCAACACGCAGATTCATCCTAAAGGGAAACGACCGTGATTTACACCCCGGTGTTCAAATACTGCACACCACCCTCCATGTGTACGAGTGTGAATATCTACTGGTTATGTGTATGCTTATATTCTTTGGTTTTGTTTTCATTATTAATATCAACACATATATTAACTGTATGTTTTTGTACAGTAAGCATATCGTTTGGAAGACCAAATATTTCACTAACAAAAGCCAGAAAATTCTATTTGGCCTAAAACTCTTAGACTAATCAACACATGAGATAAAAAAAAAAAAAAAAAAAACTGTCATAAAATAAATGAGCTCTTCCAGAGCTCATCCAGAGCACGATCCCAGAATAGTTTTGAAGTCTGGAAGAAGAACGCAAGCAAACATGGACGTCTGCGAACACTCACACCGTGTTCTGTATAGACGTCCGCCTCGGTCTGAGCAATACGTTTATACGACAGCATGTTTGGATTGTTTCTCCCATAAATCCTCCACTTCTGACTGCGGGTGTTACCGGACTAACGGTGAGAAGAGCGGAACATCGTGTATACAGCACATAACGACGAACTCTGGCACACACGAACATAAAACAAATGAAGGACTCTGTGGTCGCTGTGGCACATTATCTGCCAAGAGCAGCATCTTGTGAGAAACTGGCTCATGAGAAAAATACTTCTTCTATTACATCAGATTTGATTTCTGTTATCCTAACTACCACACGCTTCTATCTCTGCAGAGGAGGCGAGCGGATGCTAATCTCATTATATTCGGGCTCTCGGGGTTGATGTGCTCTGTTCATTCCTCCTCTTATCTCACCGCTCCACCACGCTGCATTTCTAAGGTTATCGCGTCGCTATCGTCCCTCAGCCGAGGCACATGCTGCCGTACTTGTTGCCCCCAGTATATGACTGAAAACAGAGGGTAAAAATACTTTGCAGGAGCTGCTCGGGGGTGTATTGGTTTATAAGGAAGTCAGGATAATGAGCGAGCATCGACATTCTCCAATCGTGACTAAAACACTGTTGACAAATGAGAGAGAGGAGAGGTGCACAGTCCCGTAAGAGTGTCTGTAAGAGAGGGCTACGAGGTACAACACACAACATAGCTCTGTTATGTGTGTGATGAGCCACACGGGCTTACGTTTATGGATTTAAAGTCCGGGATGGGGTTGGATTGGGGGTGTTTTCTGAAAGTCTACGTGAAATGACTCCGCACAACTATACAGTAGATATGATTATTAATAACAATTCAGGGATGATAACATTTCCGATGTTAGCAGATTTCACAATTAAATCATGATTCACAAAAGCCATGTTGGTGCCGCTTTGATGCCGTTTCAGATGCAGTGGAATATTGCTCCCATTGGTAGATTCTTATCTTTTTATGTAATAATATTTTTGGTAAATGACTTTTTCGGTTTCCCTCTCCTGTGTTATTCTCCTCCGCTTCTCTCACGGCTACATTTCATTGCTGCTCCCTCTCTTGTCTTCCTCTCTGCCCTCGGAGTCAACTGATATGTAGCGAAGAGTGTGTTCAGAGGGCCTTGCGGTGAACAACTGCATATTAAATCAACCTGACCAGATTTTAATGAGGCGAAAGCATTTCCACGAGAGCTGCTCTTCGTTGGGGCTGAGGTCAGACCACCAGAGGGGCTCTCCAGTGGTCCTCTCCCATCGCTGCTCTCTGATGCAGGAGAAACTGACCCTGATGCCACGAGCTCCAACACCGGTTTTATCAGAGTGGGAAGGTAAAATAAATAAATAAGCGTTGTTGCATTCTGTGTACGCCTGGGAGGGCAAAAAGGACAACTATAACAGTTATGGGGTGTGTGTGTAAGGGAACAGGGTGAGTGTTAGTTCTCTTACAGTTAAGCTTAATGGAGCCACTGCAAAGGCCATAAGGAAACTGATAGTTCTGTGCAATGAATACAAATGACTTCATAAATCTAAATGGCAACAAAGGCTGGAGGCAATACATAAAGAGACCATGCAGGGGCTTGTGATGCTATAATAAATAATGATGCGATACATCTTTGACCAACCCTGGGATGTTATTTTGTGTCTCCTCCATAGGTCAGAGGTCAACACTAGCTACAGAATAAGTCAAAGACTACTCGACGGGCTGAAGGTAGCTGACAAATATGTCTTTACGACCAGTAAAGCACAACTGATACATCAGAGGAACAATGTTATCACCCAACGGAGGCTTATCACAGAAACACCAGAATTACCAACCAAATATGTAAAAAATATAATAAAATAGAGATTATCCACTAAAAATGTTTGGTGTAAATTAGTTTTCCAGCAGGTATTATTGCTAAAAACTAATATCAGCGTCTAGCAGGCTGCCCCTTCCCTTAGTTCAGCACCACTGAAGTTGAGGAACACATTTCAGGCACATGCCCCTGGTGTTTTTCTGCAATGACAATACGCTGCAGTGCAGCACAATACACAACCATGGTCTGTGGGGTTGTAGTGTTTTGTCTTCTCACCAGCACGGAGGAGGACTTTTGGAAGCGTTGCAGCAGGTTCTTCTGCACCAGACTGAGCCTTTTCCCCATGGCCTTCCTGCGCAGGACGCTCTGCACCCGTGCTGGTGGACGCCGCTTGGGCCGCAGCCGCATCCGGTGGTTGTCAGGCTTCAGCCACTGATAGCAGCACGGACACACCAAGGTGCTCCGCAGCAGCCTGGAGCACATCCGCTTCGCT